AGGTAAGGTAGTATGAATGAGTTAGATATTTGAACCCTTTAAAGGTCCAGATCAGACGACAAGGGTCTCAGACACTTTTTGAGTACTGATAGGTCAGAACTGGAGAAAGGCATATGTACTTTAATGAGTCCCTCAGCCCCTGGGACCTCATGGAAAGGGGGCAGGGTGTGAAGGTGGAAACTTTGGATATATAGAGGTGGCTTTTGAGCAGAGAAGAGCTGACCTCGAACTGGTGGGGGGTGGAGACAACAGTGGCAGAGGGGAAGGGGGTATTTAGTTGAAGCTGATGGTGGCATGAGGGAAGATGGGGATGAAGAAGGTTGCGGCGACAACCACAACGGTAGATCAGAGAATGGAGAGTCAGAGGAGGTGGAAGGCGAGCAGGGTGTGGGTGGGGGGTCCTAAGGAAAAGCTGGAGCAGCCGGGCCCACCCCCCCACCCCCCACCCTGGCAGGACTAGCTATGGAAAGAGGGGCATGGTCAGAAGGACTGAAAGAAGATTGGGTGTCTGGGAGAGGTGGCTTCTCCTGAGCAGGTAGTGTGGCAGTTTTGGCACAGATGGGAGAGGCAAGATAGAAAAAGGTCTGGATATAGGGAACTTCTAGAAACTTACCTTGATGTCGGCAGAAATAATCAAGGTACCGGAGGACTTTAAAATCAAGATTGCCATCTTGTGGGCAGTTTGAGTTATTACCTAATTTGTAATTGAGGCCAAATCTGGTTACAAAAAATTAGGCGTTTAGGCTTAATGACTGGGGTTAGACCCAGCGGCTTAAAAATAGCGAGTGGGCTCCCCACAGGCAAATTTTGAGGGGGCTTAGAATGGGTACTTCCCATAGTGGGGGAGGGGAGGTTTGAATAATTTAAACTCCTGAGAAAAGAGCTGAGGGAGCAACCTCTGTGAGTCCCTTAGACTCCAGATCCCGTGTAGGGAGTAGAGTAGGAAGTAGATCAGGAGAGTGTTCTCCCCTCCCTCGCCCCAGTGCAACCCAAGCCCCAGGGGCTTAGAATGTTCTGATCTGGTACCAGGATGTTGAGATGGGGACCTTTCCGAAACGCTATAGAGAGAAGGCAGAGAACCAGAGAAAGGGGCCCTCAACTAAGCACTCACCCAGACTCAGCTGGTGTGTGGATGCAGAGCCTCTAATGGAAAGCAGAGAAGGTGGCTAGATGATACCTGCGATGGGAGGGAAGGCCAGGAGGCCAATGGATCCAAGAGAGTGTCCTTGCAGTCCCAGTGCTGCACCCACCACCCACCCCTACCCCCACCCTGGTTTCAGTACCAAAGGATAGAAAAGAGCGGAGCCCAAACGTGGGTATCAAGTAATAGGATGTATAGGGAAGTGCAGCCTCCTGGGCTACAAGGATGGGAAGAGTGGTCCGCACACAAAGAAAGGCCGAGACCACTGTGCCCTGGGGAGGCTGAGACTTGTGGCTGGGGTTAGGACAGCATCATGTAGTTCCCTGATTGGCAAATTTGAACCAAGGCAGTGGTGTGGCCTATGACACACAAAGGATGCTTTTCACGCTCTCAGAAGGGTGTGGGGGGTGGAGGGAGCAAGAGGCATGGGAGGGAAACACTTGCCAGGCACCACACACAGTTTTATACTCCACTGGACCATCAAAAAATTCTCTCATTTCAATAAAGACATACTTCTGTGAGTTGAGTATTAGGCTATCAAAGTTAAAAAAAATCTGACCTTCATTTAAAATATCTTGGCTTACCAATTATTGCATTTTAATGCAAATCATGTGTATGTTATGCTTTTGCAACCCCCTCCTGCATTACTATCCTATGAGCAATGTGAGCTTTCTTTACATGGGCTATATTATATGCAGAATTCTAATTTTTTTTTT